TTCTTGGCAAGGTATGGTCTTTGAAGACGCTGCATAGATTCTTTGCAATTGATGAAAAGAACTTGTTAAAGTTCGTTGCCGACATTGTTTCTGATCCTCTGGTTAAGGGATAGGTGCAGTGATCTTGCCGTTATCTTTGTTTCCCGTCAAAATGGCGAATAATTGGCAAATTCGTGGAGCTCTTTACGGCGCGCGATGCAAAGTTCCCACAAATCTTATTCTATAAGTTTTTACAGTGATGTTAATACTTTTGAATTTTCATTGAATCGATCCTAGATCAGGCCCCACATTTGAGAAAATAGCTTTTAACTATAGGCATGTCACGCTTAACATATTCCGGTGCTTAGCAATAGGTATTTGATAAGTTCAGAGCCCCAGAAAATATCCAGAAAGGGTAAAACTTTTGCATGTAAATCATTTAGCTTGTTGAAATAAAAACACTGTGATTGACAGCTTCCGACATTTATGGCTAAATTTCACAGTCTCCCAAGTCGAATTAGCCTGTTTTGAAGTCACCTGGAAAACTGATATCTCGCAAAAGATGGGGAAAAAAGTCGAATTGATCCAAATAAATGTGATATTTGCTCCATGAATAAAAATGAAAGCAAATCCACAAGTTGGTTTCTCGTCTTTTCAAAGCATAATTACACTGTAAAAGTTAAATATTAGCAGCGATCCTGCGCACCGAAGGCGAACAAGCAGAGCCCCATACGTTAGAAAATTTGGTAATTCATCGATCTATGTCGGCAGTAATGTCTTCGTTTAGGCGCTGGTAGAATTTGGTGTCAGTAAGTTGACTGTTGAGTTCGTCGATTTACCAGGTTTTGTCCATAATAACAGTAACGGAACCTTTGTCAGCGTGTTCCATAATTATATCTTGTCGTTGTTTGAGTTTGTGTATGGCCTGTCGTTCTGTAACAGTAAGGTTATCAGAAATAGTTTTGGGTTTACACGTGGCTATGTCAAGTTTAACAGCGTCTAAAAGGGAGTTGAGGGCTCGTTCTCTGTCGTTGGGGGATTTCCAAGTACTTTTGGTATGGAAAGATGAGTCGTGTTCGTTAGCTGTGGGGATACTGATGTTTTCGTCAAAAAGATACTCTGCTAGTCGCAAGCCTCGTGAAAAGTCGTAAATGTCGGCTGAAACTTCCGACCAGTTGATATGTCATGGTGTAAGGCAGAATGTGACCCCACGTGAAAGGACAGATATCTCGTCGGTAGATAAGGAGCAACTGGAAAGACAAATGACAGAAGAATGTTCTAGCTGAATGTTGGCAAGTTTAATTTGGCGGCGAGAGCGCTTACGTCTGACAGTGGGAGACTGACGCATTGTGGACTTTTCTTTCGTCTCTTAGAAAGTCCTTGACATATTGCGCCAAGAGATTATCAAGGTAAGAGAGTGAATCCTCCATATAGGCCTTATACCCAAGGTAATCCCTCTTAAATTATTTTTAGACGCGGTTCCCAGTTCTTCCGCGGATGTTACTTGCGTGTTTCGTGAATGTTTTCGTGAAGGACCAGCTTGTTTTTCGTTTCTTTTCGTTTCAAAGCGAAGGAAAATCTACAACGCTATGGGGATGACTTCTTTGATATTCTAATCACACCCGGCACTCTCGCTATGTTTAATACATTTCGAAACTTTAATAGGAGTTCACATAGGAGACGGATGTTCCCTGAATAAATAATAAACCCTGAATGACTGCCAGAGAAATGAGTAGACAAACGAGTACAATGCAAAATATCCCAAGAAGTATTTGTGAGACAGCGTCAAAATGTTGTTGTTTTGTAAAGAAAGTTGTTGTTTTTGTAAAGAACGGAAGAGAAATGAACAAAGAAATATAACGCATGCTTACACAGCCATTGCACTCGTTGCCGTTGAGGCTCAGTAGTTTAGAGAAAGTCGCTTTGGCTGCCCATGCATTGCGCAAATAACATCCTCGGAAGAACTGGATACCATGTCTAAAAATAACTGAAGAGGGTTTATATGGAGGATTTTCTCTCTTCCCTTGATAATCTCTTGATTGCATACATAATTTCTACAATCTTTGACACGGTTATTGGGTATAGTTTGTTAAAATTTCACTGGAAAAAAAATTAATAATGAAACCACACGCTGAACAATTGCATGCTCAAAATGGATAAGTTTGAGTTTCTGATCAAGGGAAAAGTCCTCTTTTTCCATTATGGTTAATTTTTACAATCAGGAGTTCCGCCTAAGGCTTGGTTAAATCTATGTTTAACAATTATTCGCCGAAGGCGAAGTGAACATTGGTGGATAATCAACGAGACAAAGTCGATGTGAATACTCACCGATGTTCACTGAGCCTGAGGCGAATAATTGCCTTAGTATAATTTTCCGAGGTGAAACACAGAATAACGACTAAAGCATCGAAACACAGACGCAATTGTTCGTTTGCATACACGTATGCAGCCGTAATTTTAATAATAAGCATACTTATTATATGGCTTTGGCTTGTGGCCGATATAACGCGCGCTCTGATTGGCTAAGAGCGAAATCTGAGCGGTCATTATGCAGCCGTAACCCCCACGGGCAGATTACGGATTGTGCAAATTNCTTACCAGCCGGTAACCTTGACGGGCACTAGTGAAAAACAATCAAAGTTTGCCGAGTCTTAAGTAAAGCTGAAATCGCTAAGTGAAAAACACCATCGGCTGCTCTGTCATGCATCCTGAGCAGAACACCACGAGGAAACTTATAAGTTATCATCTTAGTGACAACAATTATCAAAATATTGGACTCCGTCACAGTTCTCATCAAATAGATTCCCTCTCTTTAACACAAGCAAGTGTAAATCAGCCTCCAGGATCATCAGATGTCAACAATCGGGCGGTTTCTGTCGGTAGCAGTGTTTCTTATAACTGCAGGAAGTTTCAGACGTTCACAAAGCTTGAAAAGTTAATCCATAAATCCCCGAATGAAGAAGGCGAAGATATGTCGTGGAAAGCGAATGCGAAGTTCGAGTTATTGTAAGCAGTGCATTCTGAAGCATTAGTATTTTGTTTCACCGAAAGACCGTTGGATTGAACTATTTTGAAGCACTTTCTGTCTTTTCCATGTGCGTTGACGTTTCGCCACAAAAGTTGGAAAAAATTCCCCCATCAAGTTGTGGCACCACGATACTAAAACACCTTTTTGTGGCTGAGACAATCATTTTTCCCGTAAAGAAATGTGTACTTTTAACGGAAGACGTAATACAGTGGTGAAGTTCACTGACTGTGTAGTTTTGCCCTGGGTTTGNATTGACCTCGCTATCGTTCGGTCAATACGGCAAGGCCTCAGTTTGAGATTTTCCCGTAACAACCTCACTCTCGGTTATTAAGTAGTTAATGTACAATGATTGTCAGTCAATTTACACATCAAGTTCGGCAGTAAAACAACCAAGCGAAACACAACGAAAAATAAGTTCACCCCGTACCTTTGTTTTATCGTTGTTGACTTCATTCACAGCTGTCATCATCGTCTAAAAATGAGTAGCATTGGTTTGAAGAAAAATAAATTTCGGTCAATCGATCTGACCTGCTGGCGATCAATTTAACAACCGCCTTTACAGTTCTTAAATGCCTTGAATACGAGTTCTTGAAATGATTTTTTGCCCAAGGGCGACAGCAGAAATTTTGAAAATTCTCTATACTTTCAAATATCCTGGACTTGGAGTAATTTCTTCCGAGTAAATGAAAAACTAATTCAGCAACTGTCCGCCATGTTTACTTGCCGAAATGGCAAAGGTGGCAAGCTTAGTAACCAGGCCTGAAAATGTTATATACACCACCTGGAGCGGTGAATATGACGTCATATATAGAATCGCTTAACGGATCACATTGCAGGAAACTCTGTTCAGCTCTGAAATTATACTAAATTACATTATACAAAAACGCAAATTTATCATACCCCAAGAAATGTCAGAGTATCCTCCAAACACGTACTCTCCCTTTTTGATGATAATAACCGTGTCACGTTTCCCGTCACACCTGTTGTGAAAGGTATTGGCAGCCCAGCCGTGAGTGGAGGCGCGGTAACACAGCACCCACTGAAGGCTCAATCCAACAGCAGGCGTCAGGAACTGATAAAGGCGACTTAGGTAAGAAGCTTTCCCACCTATTATAGTCGAATGGGATAAGGGACCTAGAATGCCTAGGAGTAAAAACCATGACTAATCAAACTATTTCTATGACTATGACTATGACTACGACTACGACTACGACTACGACTACGACTACGACTACGACTACGACTACGACTACGACTACGACTACGACTACGACTACGACTGTAACTGTGACTGTGACTATGACTAGGACTAGGACTATGACTATGACTATGACTATGACTATGACTATGACTAT